CGCTCAGCCAGTGAGCGGGAACCGGTCTCCACATGGGATCCGAACCCTCGGCGGGAGCGCCGCTGCGCTCCCAAGCGGCGCACTCTCCAGTGCGCCACCAGGCTGGCCCAATCCTCCTTTTTTTATATTCCCGAACCAATATTGCAACCCCTTTAGAAGAGAAATGGGTGGGCATTATTAAAAAAAATGGTCTTATGAAGGGAAAACTTAGCTTCCAGCTGTTTCCTCAAAAACAGCAAAGTAGGCTACTTAAGAGAAATACATAGAATTTTAACCAAAGGCAAACATGGAATTACTTTGTCACTGTTCTGCTGACAGGTTTGTGCTCCTTTTGAATGACTGCTGGTCTCAAGCTGGTTATGCTATGTTGTCCTCAAATCCTTTTTCTTTTTAAATGCTTTCCTTTTGTAGTTAAATTTTTTTTCTTTAATTTCTCAGGACCAAAGCTGGAGTCACTGTCCTCTCTCACAAGGTATTTTTATTCTATAAAAGGATTGCTGGATGAAAGGATCCCTTTCGGGCAGAGTATTGATAAAGGAGGGGAAACGTGAATATTAAAAATCAATACGAAATATTCATAAAAGGCTAAAATTAAGAATTCATACTAGGAAAGTTCTGCTAAAACAAAAACATTCAAACTAAAAATGTCAACCATCCTGTGGTAGGCTGAATAATGGGCTCCCAAAAGTGTCACCTTATATAGCAAAAAGGACAAATTATGGAAGTACCCTGAGGTGAGAAGGTTATTCTGGATTTTTGGTTGGGCCCTAAATGTATTCACAGGTGTCCTTATCAGAGAGAGGCAGAGGAGATTTGACTACAGAGGAAGTAGATGTGCTGACTGCAGCAAGAAGCTGGAGCGATGGCGGGAGGGACCATGGGTCGGGGAATGCAGGTGGCATCCAGAAACTAGGAAAGGTAAGGAAATGAATTCTCCCCTGGACCCTCCAGAAGGAACCAACACCTTGACTTTAGCCCAGTGAAACTAATTTCAGGATCCTGGCCTCCATAACTATATAAGAAATGTGTGTTGTTTTAAGCCATTAAGTGTGTAGTAGCCATAGCCATAAGCTGTTACAGCAGCCATAAGAAACTAATACACATCCTGATATAAAGGGTAGCAGAAAGAGGCTGGCCAGTTAGCTCAGTCGGTTAGAATGCAGCCTTGTAACACCAAGTTCAAAGGTTCGGATCCCTATACTGGCCAGCTGCCAGGAAAAAAAAAATAGAGTAGCAGAGAAAGAGAAAATGTCTCAGTGGTTTTGTCAAAGACTCATTTATATGTTGCTGTTAGACATTTCCAGTTTTCTGTGTAAATTTAGGAAACACTGATTATTTTTTATAATGTTAATTTTTCCTCACTTTAAAGTTGTAGTGTTATAAGGAACATGAGAATAACAGGACCCAGATTTGATGCTTTGGTTTATCCAAATCAAATCCAGCTGTTAGTACATTTATGCCCATTTAGGTGGATGCTATTTTTTTCTAACTCCCCAGGGTGTGTGGCATACATACGCCTGGCACAGATCATCCTCAAAGACTTGCTGAATGAGACCGGTAAAGAATAAGGAGGCGTGTTCCTGTGCATGGGAGATCAATGTCTTACCACTGGTAAAATCCAACCAAAGGCCACTACTTTGCCTCAGGAAATTGGGAAGAGAAAAACGTTCCCATACAGGTTTTGGGTTTACATGTATACACTGTCTTCGCTCTGTGTAGGAAACAGTCTCTGGTCAGCAAACCTGAATTAATATTTGACTAACAAACTGAATTATTAATTACAGAAATTGGGAAGAGAAAAACGTTCCCATACAGGTTTTGGGTTTACATGTATACACTGTCTTCCCTCTGTGTAGGAAACAGTCTCTGGTCAGCAAACCTGAATTAATATTTGACTAACAAACTGAATTATTAATTACAAGTGTTTAGGACAGTGCCTGGAATATGATAATTGCTATTTAAGTCTTTGTTAAATAAATTTGTATTCTCCCAAATTAAACTGGTAAATCAAGAACTTGGGCATTCTACTTAGGAACCTCTAAAATTTAACCTAAGAGCAAATGCAAAAATAGTTCAAAAAGCAGCTTGAAAGCAGCTTGAAAAAAGAGAAACGTCAAGAACCCAGGCGGTTCTGTAGCATATGATTTCCCCACACTCCTTTTCAAAAAAGAAGGATATATTTTACTGGATTCCATTAGAGTCTATTGTGAGAGAGCAGATGCCTCAGACATCACTGATGTGGAAAAATCTTCCCTGATTATATGAATAATAAGCCATTTTCTTCTTCTCTAACTAAAAAAGTCGGCTCTAATTAAAATCTTTGATCCAAAAGGATGCCCACAATTCCCAGCTAATGAGTTTTGTATTTCTACCAGCTCAGTGGCTGGGTGGCCTTCTCTGCCTCTCCCTCCTCCGCCCCCTCCCTCAAGAGCAGCATCCAGGGCCTCTCGTGACACTTCAGTGACAACAGTCTGGACAATGGTGCCAGGAGAAACATCATACACAAGCGAGTGGAGAGAGAAGGGAGGACTGGAAAACAAGAGAGAGGGAACCAGAACCAGAAAGAATCAGTCACAGAGGAACTCTGCCCAAGCCAAATCAAAAGGTCTCTCCTCCTTTCTCCTCGACCTTTCTGGTTTGGTCCCCACCTCTTGGACATTGAGAGTTATTTCCTGGTGTCAGTCTTGGGAATCTGGGAAACAGTGAGGGTAGGAAGCATCACAGAATGGAAAGAACCTGAATTTTAGCTGGCCCTTTGTCATTAGTTAGTCACTGGCCCTCCACAGACTACACCAATGTGGACCTTGGTGGCCCCTCCATCAAGCACTGGGAGAGCTGCACGGAGACGGGGTCTCCCAGGACAAATCGTTCCCTTTCCAGGATCCCCAGGTCCCCAGGCATCTTGTGGTGAAAGTGGAGTGGCAACGACAAAGGAGTTTCCGGGGCTACCTCAGTACACGGAAGCCATGAAGGAAAAACAGAAGAGGGGTCATCTGGCTTCCTCTCACTGGAAGGCATCTTGTGGTGAAAGTGGAGTGGCAACGACAAAGGAGTTTCCGGGGCTACCTCAGTACATGGAAGCCATGAAGGAAAAACAGAAGAGGGGTCATCTGGCTTCCTCTCACTGGAAGACTGGACCTCCAAAGTTTCCTTCCTGATTCTATGAAAGTGCCGAGATGCTGAGGTCCCAAGAACAATTACAGTTCTAAACTAACCCTTCCTTAGAAAGTTAAGAATCCAAAACCATGAGAAAACCCAAGTGAACAAACCCCAGTTGGAGTGTCGGGGTCTGTGTCTGTCTGGTTTATCACTTGATCTCTCCCTGGACAGGCACACACTGCCTTGACCATGGACAGGGTTTCAACAGTTTATTGAACTCATGAATGGCCTGTTTTTCAAAGATCTTTAAAAATCAATCTTCTTCCCAAACCAGGACAAAGGCTTGGGAAGACACACCTGCAGAATCAAGATGAATAAGCAAGGGAAGGAGAGGGAAAACATCTCTTTTGTGAACAGGAAGTGAAAGTTTCAAAAATATTCATTGCAAAATCCAGGCAACTAGCCATAAGCAATCTCCCACTTTTAATAAAACCAAAAATAGGCTAAGATTGGGCCACCACCCACCCCACCCCACTTACTTGGGCAGCCAGAACCGCCCTGCACCCTTTTCTGCAACTCTCCTGGGACGGGCAGACACTTTTGCCCTGCTCCCAGCTCCTACCCGATGCTCCAGCTAAGACCTCCAACTCCACAGAAACCCTCGCATAGCACTGGCTACCGAAATGAAGGAACCAGGATCATTTGCCTCCTGCAGCCACAATTTGAGGCCTTTGTTAAATCAACTGCTAAAGACACTGCCTGGGGATCAGTAGTGCCTATGAGCACCTGCTGGTCCCCATAAGGGCCCCAAGAGGCAGTTTGGGTCCTGGAGACTAGATGCTCAAACCCAAAGCAAACAATGAAGCAGAAACATGAACTCTGCTTCATGTCTCTTTTTTGTTGCTTAGAACTGAGAAACACCTAATGGGAAATTTATTTATTCAATACATATTTTTTGAGCATGCATATGGCAGAACTGTGCTTAGGCACAGTAGGGGTTACAGAAGAATTCGAGTGTGGATTCTGTCCCTTTTCCAGGCCTGGGGCCAGTTCTGAGCCCAGGAGAGGAGGCCTGTGATGGCAACATTCCCGCCCCCTCCCTCCCGTCGCTCCCTGGAGAGAGCAGTTCCGCAGCCAACTGGCTGACTTGCACATTCTGGGTTTGAGCACAAGCTTTTGATCTTTAAAGTTTTCCCTCAAAATGGTCAAGTGGGATGTCTTGGAAGCAAGGATTGTAATGGTCTGTTCACAGAAATTTGTTTCTTGATTATATGTTTCTCTATCTGATTCCAAGAAGTCTCGAAGGGAGTATCCCACAGAACAAAAGGAACCCTGAGAGCTGAGCCCTCTGCCATCCTAGGGGGAGCGAGCGCCACCTGTCTGTACTTACCGTTCTGTGCCTCTCACCCTTCTGGTCTAAGTATGCTCGGATGGTGGCCAGTCCAGCATATTCCCCCTGGGCTCCACTGCAAAGGTGAGGAGAAATGGATCAGGACTTTGGTCTCTTGGCTTTCATTCACTCATTCAATATTCACTGGGCACCGGCCATGCATTCACCAATGTGTGACACATGGTCACTGTCCCAGACACTGAGGAAAGCTCTTTTATGATCTCTGCATGAGCCCAAAGCAATAGCATCCCGTCTGTGCCCTAAAGCTCACCCATTCCTACCCAGAGATGGACCTTTCGGCCCACTCTCAGGACTGTGCACCAAAAAAGCCTTCTTTTTATTATGGAAAACTTTTAAATTATACCAAAATTAAGGAAACCTCACATACTTATCACCCAACTTTTACAATTATCTGTGTATGGTCTATCTTGTTTGCAACTATATTTCTCACTGACCCTTTCATGCTTAACTGGACTGTTTTGAAGAAAACGGCAAGCATGACTTCATCACTTCAAGCTTCAATACGTATCCTAAACTGTAACTACAACACAATGATCATAACTGGAACAATGAACTGTAATTCCTTAGTATCAACCAAATATTGAGTTGGGGGCCAGACTGTGTCCAAAGCAACCCTGCACTTTTATGTGGTGCCATTCCTGTCAGTCTCGGGGACGCTTTTCCAGGCCCCACTTGCAGATGGACTCAACTCAATAGTCCCTGAAGGCACCACCTTTAGAGCAAACTTAAGGACTAACATTCCGTGAGCGATGCATAGTCAACTGTAAACTATTACTTAATGTTCTCAGTACCCCGTGCAGAGAGGAAACAGAAGTGAGTGATAGGTTTTATAGTCCCTGAAGGCACCACCTTTAGAGCAAACTTAAGGACTAACATTCCGTGAGCGATGCAGAGTCAACTGTAAACTATTACTTAATGTTCTCAGTACCCCGTGCAGAGAGGAAACGGAAGTGAGTGATAGGTTTGTCAGACCCAGTCAAAATGCACGTCTTTCATTCCCACCTCCATGAGATATATGCCCCCCCCCCCCCCATTTTCCACAAGAAGAAACTGAGGTCAGAGTGTTACATGCCCAGATGGCCAACAGTGACCAGATGGAGACCTCGGTACAGAGATGGCCTGTCTCAAGTAGCTGCATGCTCCCTTTGTAGGCAGAGCTGCTCCTTTGAGCACACTGTGCTCCCCAAGGATTGAGGGAGCCATGGGAGCAAACACTGATTTTCCTTCACAGACCTTTGTCTGCTTGATAGAACTGGTTTAGCTAAAAGAAAAAAAAAAAAAAAAAAAAAAAAAAAAAAAAAAAGCCTGTCATACAAGACCTGAGACACCCAGTCCCTCATCACCTGCACTGAGATGGCTTTACCTGTCCATTCTCTTCCAGAAAGAGAGGCAAAGATCACTCTTCTGTTTTCCTGGCTTCTGGAAAATCAGTTCTAGCCCCTTCAATGTTTTCTGTTTTGAGGACAGGAAAATGAACACGCCACATTTCGGAAGCCAATCACATCACTAGTTACTTAGCCTCTTGTGCCTGTGTCCTCATCTGTAAAATGGGGATAATAACTGCACCCATCTCGTAGGGCAGAAGTGAAGAGTACTGAGATAATCCATGTACAGGGTTTAGTAGCCAAATCCCACCCATTCTTCAGCTAGCACCAACTCTGCAAAGCCTTCCCCAAAGCCAGCAATCCAGCTCTTTGCTGTGGCTACAAAGCCCCACACGACCTGCGGTCTCTCTACACCCGTGTCTTCTACCATCCTCCGGCCATCCAGGCCTTACTCCTTCCCTGAAACACAGAGAGCCAGTTCCTGCACTGGGGCTTTTGCACTAGGTGTTCCTTCTGCTTGGAAAGTTCTTCTAGATCTTTACATATCTGACTTACCAATGTCTAAGCCTCAGCTCAAAAGTTACTTCCTCAAAGAGGCCTGCCCTGAAGGCAAGAATATTGTCTGCCCTGTTCACAATTGTATTCTCGGTGCCAAGAACTGTGATATCAAGAATGTTCAATAAATGCAGATTGATTGAATGAATGACTCTCTGCCTTCTCCCAACTCTCACAGCATTTTACTCTTTATGCTCATCTGATAATTCCACCCTATACATGTACTGTACATGGGAAATTATTACAGATCTCTCATTTACTTTGTGTGCCTGTCTTATCTCAGAGTGTAAGGGCTAAGAGTAGGATCTGGGACTCAGAGTTCTGTAGAATCTCCCACAGGGACGATGTAGAACAGTTCTCTACATGTAGTAGCTCTACAAAAATGTTTAGTAAATTTGTTCAAAATTGAATTCCACCCTCTAGCCTGGGCAATTAACATGAATGTCATCCTTTCCTCTATGGTAAGGGACCTCAACAAGTGCATTTTATATTTACCCTTACGTTTTTCTCATGACTTCTATTCACCTTGATTTGTTGGAAGGCCAATTAAGATGTTTACTAGGAATAAAATAAAACAATGTTCAGAGCAATGGGCCAGTAATCCAAGAGGAAGACAACATGCTTGACATGATCAGAAACACTGAATGTCTATTTTTGCCTTAGACACTCTTAAAATCAGCTATGTTTCAACTCAAAAAGTGCAAATGGTATGTCCAAATGCCACACAAGGCTTACTACTGGGGTACTATTAAAATAAGAAGAATTATTAGTGCCACCTGTTGGTGGAAAAGTATTAAGAAAAATAACTGCTTATCTGCATAACCCAGTTTGAAGATCATCAGAAAACTGCTAATGTAGAGGGGAAACTAGGATGATGGTTTTCTAACAGCAATTTAAGATGAAGTGGTTAGTGGCTCGGAGCCACAGGGCCGGCTGCAGTGAGAAGGCCAGTGGATGGGGAGTCTGAGACCCACAGAAGTGTAAGTGAGCACAAGCTTAAGCTGTTTTAGAAAAACAAGGCCCTCCAGTGTGTGGCATTTACGCAGGCTGATGACGGCACTGCTGTGTATCACACTGTGTAACACACAATGAGGGAAAACTAGCAGACACGAGAAATTCAACCGACCAGAAGAAACCGGAGCAACTGCAGAACAGGTACCAGAGCCCACAAGGTGAAAATAAATCGGAGTTGATGGGATTCAAGAGTTTTGTGATGATGAAAACCTAGGTCCTATCAGCATCAGCATATCATCATAGGTGTAGAAGTTCAGTTACTCAATGTCAACTTAGCAAAAACAGAACAAAACAAAACAAAACCCACAAAAAACAACAAACAAAACAAAACCAAAAAAAGAATGTATGGATGGCATGGCAGAGATAGGGTGATAGTTCAGAAGAGCTAAAAGTTATTTTGCCAGGAGTTTAAGGACACAGAAAACGTCAAAGATTTTTTGTATTAATTTACTTATAACTTTTCCTAAGAACCCTGGACAAAAAAATTGAGATTTAGAAATGGCTGTTGCATACTGGAATTTAGTTTTATCTAGAAGGTTTAAACTTTTAGATCTCTGGAAAAAATTTTCATTGGAACATAACATGAGAGTAATCCCAAGGGACAGTTGGAACCTTCTGCTAGATTTTAGAAATATGATTGCAGATGATATGTCTAACTACCGTGATGAAAGAACATGGCTTGCCTTTACGAATGATTTTTGCAGAATATGGATGGCCAGTATTCACAGGTGGAAAGCACAGCACTTTTTAAGCAGAAAAATTAGATGGATTAAAATTATAAAGTTAATTGCATCCTGAAAACGAGGCATTTCTAGTCAGTTACTGTATATATTTGTCACTGGTTGCAGAAATCATCCTTGACCAGTCATGAAATAACCACTTTGTTCTGCCTAAAGAACATGGTGGCTGGCTTTTTAGATGCTATAAGAAATTTCTCAGACAGTGGCTGCTTTGGAATATTTGGAGATGCGTCACTGTAGCTGCTGTTTTTAAGAGAAAGATTTCTGTGTGCTTTTTTATATTTACAAAAAAGTAACATAGAACCCATTTTGTAAGAATGAAGAATATGCTGTAAGTAATAATCTAAGCTGAACACCAGCAGTCACCAAAACTCCCATTGAATCATATTGTAATTATACTGAGAAAACAGTACTTGTGTTCAAGTAGAATGCTACATTTTCATACAAGTCAAAAGGTGTTAAAAAATGTGTCTTTAAGTGGGCTGGCTGCTTAGCTCAGTTGGTTATAGGGCGGCAGTATAACACCAAGGTCAGGGGTTCAGATCCCCATACTGGCCAGCTGCCAAAAAAAAGGAAAAAAAAAAAAAGGCAGAAAAATGTGCCCTAAAGAATGTTATAAATTCTAACATTTTTAAGATTTTAGTACTAGGAAATTAAGATTTATACATTTTTTGAATTATCAGATATCTAGATTTAATAGGTCTATTTTTATTTTAATTTTCTCTAGATATTCTGAAAAATCATTTTATAGTTTTTAACACACCATCCTAGTTTGTGCACTGATGGCCACATTTAGTGTGTGATTTCAGGAAAGTCTTCTTTGAAGCTGTTTATAAGTCAGCAAGCCTATTTTACTTTTAATAATATTTGAACTTCTTAGAAAGTTACTTATGGTATGTTCTTAAAAAAGTATTTTATTACATTTAAAAAATGTAATGAAAAATATTTCTTTTCATGAAAAATATTCCTCGTATGACTAACAAATTATAAGTTTAAATATGAAGTAAACTTGTTCCCTTCAACCCTCTGTAACCTCTATAACGTCCTGCATCCAGCCCTTTGTACAAATTGTAACATTTGGAAGCTCAAAAAAAAAAAAAAAAGCCCAAGAATTTCTTGTAGATGAAAACAAGATTATTCTAAAATTTACATGTAAAGGCAAAGTAACTAGAACATCATTAAAAAGCAGAAGAAAGTAGGAGGAATTACTATGTACGATTTCGAGACTTATTGTACAGTGACAGTAATCAAGACTGTATGTTACTGGTGGAGGGACAGACACAGAGATAAATGTAATAAAATAGAGAATCCGAAAAAAAAAATAGAGAATCCGGAAAAAGATCCACACAAACATGCCCAACCTGACTTTTGACAAACTTGCGAAAAACATTCAATGGAAGAAAGAGAGCCTTTTCAACAAA